CGTTGGCCTGTCGGGGTGGGGGACGAAGCATCGAAGTCCAGCGTTGTACCATCGCCGTTGATGATCAAGGTCTTCTGAGCCGGAACGAAAGTCGGGGAATTCGTGGATGCTGCGTTGTTCCGGAGTGCCCACGGTCTATATGCGGTCAAACACCTCGGGCAAGAATATCGTCCGTGTTGCGAAGCAATCGAGTAGTCCCAAGAGATTTGGCGGAGCCAGTGGTGATTGTGTATCACCGAGGTGCACTCCTTCGAGCGACAGACGAAGTGCTGGTCGATGCTGTCGGAGACTCGAAATAGCCAATCGGTGAGGGGTGCCTCGTTGCTGACCATGTTCCAAAACTGGTCGGCGTCCTAATTGGGATCGATGGCTCGAGAAATCGTGGTGACCTCCCATTGGGCAAAGGCTTGGAACACTCGGTGTTTCTGTGACTCATCGAGCTTAGCGAGGTCTGCGACGAAGATGTCGGTGAGACGAAGGATCCTCGCCCGAACTTCTCGTCGTATGCTCGATTTGGAGTCCCCCGGGCGCTCGCGTTCAATGTCCTCGCACATCTGCTTCCACGATGCGTTTCGCTGTCTCGAGGTTTCCTGAGTCAGTCGCTTTCGAACGGAGTTCACCTTCTGGCAGATCGCGTACCAGTCGGGGATGCCGATCGTGTCGCATCGGGTTGAGCCCTTGCGGACGAAGATCGGCTTTCGGACCCATCGGCATTTCGATGTGTCCCAGTGATTGTCGAAGAAAACTTTGCAGTAGAAGCCGTGTGTTCGTTCGATAGCGATGTGCCACCCCGGAGGCTTTGTCTCGTGGTCGTCGTCGCGGTCGTAGAGTCTTCGGCGATCTGCTTGGTCGTAAGGGCGATCTCGAAGATTGCCGCGTACTCCGACTTTGGCCGGTGATAGATCGGAGTCTTCCGCATACCACACGAAGTTCTCGTTGGCCCCGGTCAGGCACTGGTAGCAACATCTGTAGTGGACATTGCGCCAGTCGTCCTCACCGTCGGGGTTGATCGCGAGCAGGTAGTAGGGCGGGAAGAGGAGACCACAGAACGTGCAATCGAGGGAGCCGTCGTGGATCTTGTCGGTGCCCGGGGTGCTGAAGTATTTGAGGTACATCTGCACGCGGTCGACGTCCCGTTTGTGCTGGTCCTCAATCGATGATCCATCGCGTCCAATCAGTTCGATGGGCATCCCGCTGTCGTCGACTTCCTCGCCAGTCAGTTGTCTGCGCCAGATCATTGCCAGTTCGGAGTCCGAGGAGTTGGGGAATTGTCGGCGAAGAGAGGACATCGCGGACAATTCGGAGGCCCGTTTGAAGGCAATGATCTCGAGGGCCCCCTGTGTGTTATGGTCATCGTAGAGCCTTCGTTGAATTTTGAGAGCACGGCCCGCATCGGTGTCAGGATCAACACTTCAACACCTTCCAGATATCGCGCGGCCGGCAAAACTGCCCCGGAGCTACTCCCGGGTGTCTGGGAGAACTGCTCGATGGCGTCGGGGTCAGTCATCGATGACTCAGGAAACTGTTCGATCGGGTCCGAGTCCATCGGGGTCTGACGGTGGCTTGCCATCACGTCGAGTGTGTCGGGATATTCGGGGAACACAAAGGGGCTTGAGAAGTCGAAGTCTACGGAAGCCAAGCAATCTCCAAGGAGAGAGCAGGCCCCACTACAACTAGCAGAGCCTGGTGCAAAACCGCAGCTGTTATCCTACTCAGCAGGTGCAGGATGCTGTCCTTGTTGTCGTGTGGAGCGAGGCTGGATTCGAGGCTGGTAATAGTGGATCGAGAGGACACATCGCCGAGGCGGAAGTCCCCCTTCACCAAAGGACCCAGTGACACCAGAAACTCCCGTGCATCGCCGAGGCGGAAACGGGGTAACTGTGTAAAACAAAGACTTCGGGATTGCCTAGGTGAAGGCTCGAGCGTCCTCCCGAAATCGGAGAACAAAGGCCGGTGGCTCAGCAGCGATGATGGTTCGCATTCTCTCGTGTTGAGCGAACGCACTCCGCATCGCCGGGGAGAGCATATTCGAGGTGCATGCGAGGATCGCCGAGGCCTGCTTGCGGAAGAAGGTCGTCATCGGCTCGAAATATGGCATCTGCCCCGCGAAGTGATTGAGATTGTGGGCCGTATGGCACCACATTCGGAGTCTGTGCATGCGATCCTCCACCGATGTATGGTTCAGGTCGGCGAGAGATGCCGTCATGTTATGTTGTGCCACACCGTAGAATAGGTGAGCGTAGTTCGGGGATCCACGAAGTTGTTCGGGACTCCCAAAAACAAGACCCTCTCCTGGAGGGTGTCATCCTGCGGTGTGTGGATCGGGAGGTCGATGTACAATCCGAACTGGGTCAGATAGCTGCCGTAAGTAGGGCATCGAAGAACCTGTTCGAGGTAGAGGATGCCGTCGTATGTGACTTCCCAGGGCGAGTCGAAGGCAAAGGAAGAGTACGGGTGATTGCCGGGGGGCAACATCGCGACATTGTGTCCGCCCACCGGTGTCATCGCCTGCAGGTTCGGGGACAACATCGGGGAGTTGTCGAAGTGTCGGAGAGTCTGGAAACCAAACACGGGTTCGTGTGTGGTCGGTGCATTGGCGCGGACTTCGTCGAGGGATGTCCTGCCCTTGTCCACAACCTGTGAGTCGAGCCAAGTCACTCGAAATCGATCGAGGCAAGACTGTCGCGGTGCCTGTGGCTGGATAGAGACCGGCACACTCGTGTAAGGGCTCCGCGATGAGGTAGCGACCGTCGAAGAGTCGAAGAGGATGCAGCCCCAGACTGTGCTGATGCCATGTTGAAGGTCTGTCTTGGGTCTGCTCGGGACAGATCCACCGCAGGATGAACCGAGAACCTCGGTGTCCCGGCCGCCCGATCCGGGTTGTTGGGCATGGCCTTCGAAGGTATCATGGTGCCAAACTCCGGGTTGATCCACTCGGAGTCACTCGGGGGATTCGCGGCCTTCGCTGTGACCTTATTGGTCGAATGTGTCACCGGAGTAGTTGTAGTAGCCGTAGTCGGGGGTGTCGGTGCAATCGTAGTGTTATCGTCCTCATGCCAGGGGTCCGGAGACAGAGGTCGAGGCGGGGGTGTCGGGATGGGATTCGTAGTAGCTGGAGTCGAGGCCGCAATCTCGTCCGGCACTTCGACGATCACCGGTGTAGAGTCGAGCCACCGTTTCGCTGGCGAAGGTGATCTAGAACCTCGCCGGTCCCTTCGCTGCTCCATCGCCGGGCCGGAAGGCAGTTCGGGGGCTGCGGCCGAAGCTCGGGGCGTCGGAGTCTGTGTCCGTGCCCACCTGGAAAAATGGTCGGCGTGGTGTCGGGGCTGCCTGTGTACTCGAAGAAGCTGCCGATGTAGCCGCAGCTGGAGGGAATCGAGGTTCCGAGACAGGAAAGACATTTCCTCGTCGTGGTGTCGACGGTTGTCCCCATGTCTCTGGAGGTCTGGAATCATCGCGGCCTCGGCGGGGGGAGCGTCCGCGAGGGTGATCTTCGGCAATGTCCTGTCGGAGTTTCGCTGCTGCTTCCGACTTGTCCCAGGATTCGAAGTCGTAGTACTTGGAGAAGTTGGTGCCGAAGCTAAATTTGCGCATCTCGGTGTGGCGGAACGTGGCCATCGACTCCATGATCCACTCGCGTGCCTGTTCTCGGTTGACCTGCTCGAGGAACCCTCCGCGGGATGAGTTGTGGAATGGAGGTTCATCGTGTCGTAGTTGTCGTTGTATCACAACAGCTCTGCGCATAGCTGCGTCGAATGTGCGACCGTGTTGGCTCCAACAGCGATCGTTGTAATCGCAGCATCCCTGAAACCATTTATGGCAAATGAGGTTGGGCACCACCCACACCTTGTTAAGGAAATCAGGGTGGAGATGCACACAATTCATCATGTTGCAGTTCTTAGACTCGAGGATTCGGGGGCAGATCTGTCGTTGTATTTCCTTCAGAGGTACTCTGCTGTCGTCTCGAACTCTTTCGGGGAACTCTCGGAGCATCGTGTCCGGAACAGGCGCAGTGATATTCACTGTCGATCCCTCGCAGAGAAAGTCGAACCAGGAGTCCGCTCGTGGGTGTGCCATGGCTACGAGGTAACTAATCCAAATCGATGAAAGTCGAGGTAGTGGGCTTAAGACGCCCTTCGAAGTTCCGTTTTCGAGCTTCAGATGCCGCGGGTTCGGGATTATGTAGTTCCATGCCGAAATCATCACGAAAAGTGTCTGCCAAATGCTGATTATGCAGTTCGGTCTCATGCGCAAGAAGAGCAGCATCAGTGTCTGCGGGAAGAGGTACAGAATCGGGATGTAGCGAAGCCTCGACGACCTCGAAGGGAACCGCCAGCGGCTCCTCGGAGTCGTCGCGGTTGGTAATGTGCAGGTACAGGAAGGCCTCGAGGTTGGGCGGCTTCAGCAAGGTCGCCGCCAAGTTGACGATGTCGTCCCCAGTCCGGCAGTGGGAGATCTGATCGATGGCCTTTCGTATTTGTTGTGACGGTCTCTTGTTCCAGGCTCCCCAGGTCACATCCTCGGGTTTCTCGATCTGAAAGTCTTCGAGAACTTGTTCGCGGCTAAATTCTTCGAGTGATTCCTTCAGACTGTCGACAACCGACAGAGAAGCCGTAGTGCTCGAAGTACTGGCCGCCAGCAGCGGTCGTAGTAGAACTCGAAGTACTGGCCGCCAAGAGCGGCTATGACCGAGGAGTGATCCGAGGGGACTGAAACAAAATTTCTCAAGCTGTAACAGTAACAGCTTTCGCCAAATGGCCACGGAGTATACAGTCATTCGAATTGAATCGGTGAGTCAATCCCCTGACCGATTCGGTGTTTAGGTGAGATGATAAGTTGTCACTTCGCACAAACAAGTGTGTGCTACACAACAACATGCGCAGATGCGAATGGCAAAGCGGCGTGCAACGGCAATCGCCATTTTACTTGTGCAAACCCCATCTGACAATCCCTCGTGGGATTAGAAAGTCTTGGAAAATCTAAACCGTCAGCCAAAGCACGTCAAATTCGTCGGCCCGAGTCCGAGCTCTTCGGATATCTTGCTGAACATCAAATCTTGAATGCCAGACCCGCACTTGATACTGCAAACGCAGTATGTCGTCGACGCTGATCATTTCTTTGCCCGATCCTGCTGGTGTGACACCCGCTGCAGCATGGATCAAGGTCCTCTCTGGCCGGTCGTCGATGTACTCCCAGTCCATCCAATTTTCAGAGTTGCGGTCGTTTGCCCATGTTAGTAGTTGGGAGATTACCGTTGCCAACACGCCTTTCAATTCGATGCGCATGGCATCTTCGTCATGGTGGAGGTTGTCACTCACGGCACGAAAGCCTAGCTCATGGTCCAAGGCCAAGGTCCACTGAAGCATCAAAAGAGCATGCACATAAGCGTCAGAGATCTCCACGTACGCTGACAAAATTGCCTGTAACCTCAGCATAGTCATGTGAGACTCAATGAGTCGCTCATGCGTCGTGCCCCCTGTCACAGGCCGTATTCCTCAACGAATAAGAGGCCATGAAACCATGCCCCCCGTACTCAGAGCAGAAACAACAAGAACAAACTGAGTCGCGGGCTTCTTGCAATTCAGCTCGTGATGACCGTGCAAATGCGTAGGATAGCAATTAATTGAGTCTCGTTCGCCATACCTTGGCCCATAGAAGTTGGAAAAACTGCTGTCTGAGAGAATGTAGTTCTTCAACGTAGCCAGGTCTTTCCGCACATTCGCGCTGAAAGTGCGGAATGTTGTAGTCAAATCTTCGAGGCCGCGCTCCCTCTCTTTCATGTTGTAAGTATCATGCTCGGCCCTGAAGCCATCACAGGTTGAATTGATCACTCGAAGAAGCTGCATAGAACCCTCAATTCTGTTCCTGATGTCGTCGAGGCGTTGCTGTGCAAACTGCTGGTCTATGTGTTCTTTCAACGCATCGACTGCGTGGCGGAACATGTGCGCGATTGCTGCAGTCAGAGTTTCTTGTCGCGACTGCATGTGGTATGCAAAGATATCCACGATGCCGGCAAGCGTCCCCACGACCGCAGCAGTTTCCGGCCCGGCAATGCTCATGACCCCGGCAAAAGCTTGGAAGTAGGCGTTTGTAGCCTGCATTGGATCCGCATCGCTGGGAAGTTGAGAGATCTGCTTGATTCCGGCAACACTCTGCTGTGCAGCCCTGGCAACCAGCAGTGTGTGTTCTGTCAGGTCACTCCTCGGATTCTCTGTACTCCTGTGCTGGAATGCCGCAGCGAACTGTTCATCCCATTTGGCCTGCTCGGCTTCCAGTTGTTGGAATTTGTGTTGCTTGCGTAGATCTCGGAGTTCTACATGTATTTTCTTTAGAGATGCCTGGAGCTCAGCTGTGCTGGAACTTGTAGCTGCACCCGTATCTGAACCTGTCTCTGCACTCTGAGATACGCCCAGTTGTCCGCCCATGGCTGCGCGAGCGTTGCCCTCTGCCAAACTGGTGCTGTGGGCCGTACCATGCAGCAATATTCTGCTTGATGGTGCACTTTTCTTGTGACAAAACCACGTTGCGAAATCGAATGACTTGAACACAGGACAAATGCCGACGCCTCTGGGCACCGCGCGTTCGCGTGCGCCTTTGCCAGCGCCGTATCAATGTTCTTGTTCGTCTTCTTTGCCCTCGCGGCCTCCGAAGTTTCGAGCTCGGGGGCTGCGTGTTGAATTGAAATTGTAAGGCCCTGAAGGGTGCTTCGATCGAATTTGATTCTTCCGGTCTGGGAGTTTGACCGGGGCCGGGGGAAGCGGGAGACTTTGGTCCAGTTTCGCAGCGCCTTGTCATGCCACAGCTGTGCTGTTTCCACACCGCCCACCCTCCGGCCCGTGAAAGCTTGCTTGAAAAAACCCATGCGAATCCACTGCAGCACATATTTCTCACGCGATCGAACTACGATTGGAAGTTGCAGGATGCAGCAAATCAACACATGGATCACCGGCACTTCACACACTTTCGAGTTGCAACTCTGCGTGCACCCAACACCCAAGTCGTGACTGCAAGCTGCTCTAAAACAGATGACTCCAGGCTGAACCTGGTTTGGGACCGTTGTCGTTATTCGGGTCAAGCTGGAACCACTCCCGTGGTACTGCAAGATCCTTCAAGCTGCTAAGTCTCGCACAAGACTCACATGCGTCGCAGCTATTGGCTGCAGGCTGTTCGAGAGCATCTCCTGGATGTATTCCTCTGTCTGTGGCCTGGCCAGTAAAGGGGTGCGTGACAGCTGCGTTGGCAAGGCTTTTCATGCACAAGGCCTGTTGCAGCAAGCAGTTTCCAAACGGCTTACCAACCAACAGCAAGGCGTGGAATGTGAAGCATTTCTGCTCGGCAGCTTGTCGGCCACAATAGCAGTTTTGATCATGGTGTGCAATTTAACTTGCCAGAAACTTCCTGCGCCATGCGCACTGCCGGCTTCCAATTCACTATCCGCGTGCATGTCCTATCTAGACACACAGATAGACAGACGCATAGATAGACAGCTGGATCAGTCGATAGACCGATACACAGACCGATCGAAAGATGTGCATGTTCTTACCAGCGCAGTAACCATAAATTGCTCATACATTACGATGAGCCTGGTCCGAAGGCAGTGTTTGCTACCGCCTTCGCTGTCAGAGGCTCAAAGCAAAGATCTGGTGAGCCGTTGCGCTGCGGCCTCCTAAGAGGCAACCGCTCTCATCGGAAGATGATGACCAGGTTGCCAGTGGCTCCTGAAACAAAATTTCCATGATGTCTCTCGCGCGCGAGCCCATGGCACGATGCGGTGTCCTTGCAGTTGCCATCATGCTGCATGAGAGCCGTGAATTATTTGTGTTGTGTTCGTTGTTGATGGTGACTGGTTGCGCGATGATTGCCTGCATGCTCAGTGGACGGGGTTGCTAAGTCACTCATCAGAAACCACTAGAAGCAAAGGCAGATTTGTGTAGTCTTGTTGTGCGGGATTCGCTGACTTTCCTGGATGCTGGAGCATTCGAGACTTCGCAGTGCAGCTTTACACAAGCTTGGTTATGGATGTTCCATGTTAAAGGAGGCTCAGCGCTGGCAGAGCCGCGAGAAGTTGGGCGTAAACCGCAGTCGGCCCAAACATCCTTCGTCCTGTTCCTTCTTGAACTTAGGCTGACCTCATCTGGTCTGACTCCATCCAATGGCATCTATGTTCGGGAAAACTTCGACCAACTCAGCTGGATGCATTCCTTCCAGCACGACTGCGCGGCGTTCACCGTACTTAAGCTACAGACATGCATCTTATCATGATGTGCTCTTGGAGGTAATCCGTCCACCCAAGTACCGTTCAAAGTCTAGAGATCTCTCGCAGTACTGATCGGACACACATCGAACGGGAAACCTCATGAAGCTAAATGGCAAGGTGCCAGCAAATTCAGCTGAGCCTGCTGGCTGGCAGCCTTCCAAAGGCAAAAGAATCCCCCTGCAACTCTCAGAGTTCAGGTGATCTGCAGCCACGGAAACTTGGGATTCCCTGCATGGGCAGACTTACAAGCTTATACACATATGTGACTGGGCGTAGAAAGTTCCATCCCAGTTTCCATGGCCGCGTCAAATGTTGTGAACCGCAGGGTTTCACAACAGCTAAGAAACCTACGGTAATGCTCCGTACGGAGCCTTGGGTTTGTACCAATATCTATAGAGACTCAAGAGTCATGCTGAATCGTTCTACGTATTAAATGGCGACGCATTGCAGGTGCTCTGACCAATCTCTGGGCTGCCGAGGCCTGTAGCAACATCAAGCGCAACGTGGTTTGAGCTATGCTGCCGGCTGCAATGTAGGAAACTCATCGGCATGTATGTTATGCTATGAACATTCATGGGGCTGTGGCCGAGGTCTTTGGGTTGCTTCCTGGCCGCCATCATTCATCGCTGCCTGCAGATAGCATGTGCGGGTGGACAAGAACTTGTAACTAGACAGGTGATGAAAGTGCTAAGCAGACCCTACGCTTATGATCGCTTGTGCACACGCACGTCTCAGGCATTGAGTTAAAGGGATCTTATGCTAATACAGGGAGACCTGCGACCCAAACAACCTGCTTGCGATTGAATCAACAAGCAGCTCTGGACTGGTCGCAGTTGGTGGGTTGTCTCGTTATTTTGTTACCTGATGAGAACCTGGAAAGACTTCGATGAACCTTTTCATTGACTGCATGTCAAGGTGTTTAGTCTCAGTGGCTCGGATTAGCAATCAATCAGTCATCCTCGGGCTTGAATCATGCCCGGCGACCACATACTATTGCTTTACCTTGCACGTCAAGCACTTCTCTCATGGCTCCGTTGCTCTCAAACAGACAAGGATACTCTCAGCTAGAAACAGTTCTGGACCAGAACCCTGTACGATCGCAAAGTGCAGAAACCAACACCCTCAAAGCCTGTGAGTAGCCTCGGTCTGTTGTGCGATACGAAAGGAAGCGAAATGTCGGTCACCCCTGATTTGCGAACAATCGCCGAACCGGCCTCGTTCGCCTGGTGCTTCCCACGTTTAGATCCCATGTGATCACAGAACCGATTGGAAGAGCATTCATAAAATTCAGTCGGGCATGTGAATCATTGGCGGGAGGCGCTGAATTTCTATGGATTCTATGCAATTAGACGAAGGCGGAGGCTTCTGAACTGCCGATCCTTAGGCCGCTCAATGAATTCGAGTGTTGCAGAGAGCATCCAATCCATCCTCAAAGCAACTGCACGGAAATGGCCCATAACACCCCGGCCTTTCACTCCCGGGACTTGGCAAGTCCAGAGAAAGAGCCGGAGGAGGTGGTGAGGCACAGAGAGACACTTCTTCTCCCCAGCCATCGTGCGCGGCTCTTCGTTCCATTGGGTTCCTGGGTCAGGATTCGGTGGAGCCAACTTACTGCTGCTCCCAACCTGCTATCCAGAATATCAACAGTAACACAAGCAACTCGTCTGACTGCTGTCATGCGGCCGATACATTAGGGAGTTCTCGGTGCCTTGTCGAGGCCAAGCCTGTGCCAGCGCAGAGATCAGAGAATGAACCACCAGCACGAGATCAACTCTTATACAGCAACAACTTGAATCTAGATTGCGCCAGTACGCAGTTGTGTTCCACTACGGCGACCACTGAACCTATCTCTCAAAGGCTAGCCCAGCCCGCGCTGCTAGCTGCTAGGCCCAGCTGCTAGGCCCCAAATGTTTCCTGGAGTAGAGTGGTTGTACAAGAGACCAGTTACTACAGTACCATTCAAAAGCACTGGAGCCAATCAAAGTCAAGCCACCGCTCGCCGCATTCGTTCGTTGGGAGTTGCGCCGCGGCACTCTGCCCACGGGCCGTTCGCTGTGGCGCCTTTCACTGGGATCGCTGGCATCCTGCAAAGCAGTGCAAGGAAAGGCGGCAAGGCTGTGAGCTCTTCTTGTTATCCTACTTCATGGTGGTCTTCTGATTAGCATAGCATTGCTACTTTCAGTGAAAGCCCATGGTCAAGGCGACAATGATTACAACCTCGGCACGGTTCATTGCAACTCTGACAGTTTTAAGACCTGCTGTTGCCGGAATACCGTTGAAACTTTTGTGGCTGGTGTTCTCCAGGCCGCTGGAAGTATGATTATCGTCATTAGCATAGTCGGCATGTTTGCCAGTACTGTGCTGGCTACGAGTATGGCCAATCATCTTTGAAGATTGCTGCTTATCAAAATGCTGTCAAGGTCGCCATTGCCGTCGCTCTTGTCGCCGTCGTCGTCGTAGGAGCAGCGCAGCAGTAGCTGATGTCAGCTTGAAGCAGCAACAGCGCCAAAAAAGCAGGAGTAGCGTCGTAGCAGTGGCAGATGAAGAAAGCATCCAAACAACAACAATTACCTACTAACCTACGTACTAGCTGGTTTTCCTTGCAGCTAGAAGAGTGGGTGCCTGTGTGCACCTGGAACCAGGCGCTTGCCGCGAGGGCTGGCTGGCACACCTTGCACCAAGTTTGGCAATCCCGGCACGGGATCGAATCCTCGGCACATGAACCAGACCAGTGGGAGTCAACATGCGATGGCTACATGTACACACTCAGCAGTGCATCCTTCTGCGAAAGCTGCTCACAGCCATCCACAACCAGTTGAGCATGGTCGCCAAAACGGCGAGCCCACACGACCACCGTGCGACATGCAAGACACCGTGATACACCGTGCTTCCGACAAGACTGAGACCAGTAGCTTGAGCCAGAGCATCCCCCCAGTACGGAAGTGGGCAAATTGGGGAAGCAGACGGCACCAGCAGCAGAAAGCCTCTCTAACCGGCATGGGCTTCGTGCTGCGTGGCGTCTGCCATGCGTCTGCCATCCTTCTGCTCTTGACCGGGCGTCAATTTCGTGCCTTTCTGCGTGGCGTAGAGCATGCGGCTCTGCACTTCTGCTGGCCAGGAGTGATTACGAGAAACAATACGCGCAAGCGTTGAATATCAGAGTTAATCCAGCTTTGTATTGAGGAGTCAAAGTTGTTCAAGGTGCTTCGAAACATATATCGCCGCTTGTGAAGCCCCGGAAAGCGATCGCAAACCATCGGACTGTACCAAAGCGAAAAGCTTTCTCTTCATATGGCATTCGGTGTCCTTGGGGAGGCGGAGGGTCGCTGTTTCGACTCGGATCTACTCGGTGCCCAGAGGTCCAAGATACGAATACTGCAACACGGAAGTACAAACTGGTCGAATTAACCCAGTAAAGATAAGTTCAGTAATCAAATAACTGACTAGTTCATACATACATGCATACATACCTACCGACCTGCCTACATACATATAATATGAGTGTGATTGAGTGTGTAAAGATGTGGCCACCTGTCTGCATTGAACGCGCATTGTGGGATCTGAAATGTGCTCGCACGGGTTTTAAGGATTGGAGACGGCGGTGCCGTGGTCTCGACAGGCCCACCGCAAGCTTTGTGTCTTTGGAAGCCCACGCTTCGCCGACTGTGCCGCAGCCGCACGGATGGTGCGCAGAGCAGCTTTAATTAATTTAATGTTAATGCCTGACATAAGAACAGCACGGGCTAAACAGTGGCAACCCGTTGTCTGAGGCCATGGCGTGTGACTGCAGGTGCGGTAATCGGTCGAATGAAGGTTCCTTCTGACCGAGAGCAGGAGAACAAGACAGCACACTCCGTTTTAGAGCATGTCGTGGAGACCGAGCCCCTCAGCTACACAAGCTACTCGAAAGATTCCCAAAGGCAATTTTCGTCCGGTCCTGTGGTGGTGTGCTTGTGGAAGATGGCCTTGGCACTGCGCGGCGGCTCCGCCGCCCAGCTGCGTTGAGGGTTCTCGATGGGGGCCTCTGCTTCCCTGGCAGCGGTCGTCATGATCCGGGCCCGACGACGGTCCAAAACACGTCGAATGCTCTGAGACGGCACTGAGTCTCGGGAGGGCTGCTTATTGCCTAATGTGCTGCAGGTACTGTCCATGCCAAATTTCTTTGGACTGCCAGAAGGTCAGACCTACTATAACATAAAAATGCACGGCTTATGTACGCATGTGGGGCCGTCGGTTTAGAAATAGCCAGAAAGCTGAGCAAACACGGGTCGCACACCAGCCAAGCTTGCGCGCGACCTTCACGATGCTAGCTCCGACTGAGACATGACTGCAGCATGTGAAACCATCGCGATTTCTTGATGCATCCTGCTCGAGCGTGGCAGACATCATCCCGGGAAGCCACCAGCCTGGACCAGCTGTTCTGGTTGTCCAACCTAAAGCTGGCAAGTCTTTTGCGGCTTTCTTTGGCTGCTAAAAGGTCAAGAGGTTCTGACTGCTTGGCAGGCAGCAAAATTTAAAATCGAAAAGCACGCTGCCGAAAGATGCACTCTTTGAGTGCACCTGTCAACAGGATGCAGGATCTCATGTTGGGACCTGATAAGAATCAAAGGCAGACCGCACTACACATGCACTAAAGAATAAAGAGGTAAGACTCTTTCACGCTGCAGCACTCGGGCGCAGGATGTGTCTACCCATTCATTGAAATTCGTCTTAGCAAGGCAAAGGACAAAGGCAACCAGCCCATCTCCTCCCACCCCGAAGGATTCCATGGGATTCGCAGCCAGCCAGATCCCCCCGGCTGCATGAGCTCCTTTGATGCAGCGTTGAGGATCAAAGCCGTGTTCGGCTATGGATTGGAGTTTGTGGGCCAAGCTGGCTTCTTCATCAGCACGCTTCAGCCGGGTTCCATGCCAGACTACATCCTCCCGGAATCGGGGACCGTTTGCTGACTCCAACTCAACATCGAGATACTCGAGGCCAAGCAGCTTGTTTTCGATGCGTTGAACGACGACACCTCCCAAAGCTTCGCGAAGGTTCACTCCAGGCGGCCTTCGAAGCCGGGATGCTCCGCCACTTTGAAGGTACAGAGAGATAACCGCTTCAGCCTCTGTAGAGTTGCTGGGCAGCAGGACGGTACCTGCAACATCATCCCCCAACTCAGGCAGCCTCTGAAGGATTCCCTGGACTAAGGGATCTCGGACACTTACCCGACGCGAGCGGGAAGGTGAGCGTGCATGTTCCGGAGAAGGGCTTTGGAAACGAAACTCTGCATGGTCGGAGGGCTCGTCAGCCACAATTTGATAGTGAATTGTGTAGGCCAGAAGAAAGTGACTCGCATCTTCCACCTCGAACTCAACAACATCCTTCGGTCGATCGCTGGCACCTCCCAGTTTTGACCTGGCCACCTCTGGTCCACAGAAGAACACACACATCGATCTCACATCCAGTCCTTTCCCTGGCTCCTCGCTCCGCAACTGATTCTCAAGGGCCGCTCCGCAGTCTGACACCACGCGGGCAGGAGGAGACCGCACTGCCAAGCCATGAGAACAAACTCGGTTCAACTCATCTGCATCCTTTGGCGTGAAGAAAACGATTCCGAAGTCATTTGCGTTTTCCCCGGCGCCAGTCTTCTGCATGAACTTCGCGTACGTCTCAGGAGTGACCACGCGTTCGATGCGTTGAATCTTGGCCACGGAGCGCGGGACAAGCTCGCAGAAGAGTTGAGCCACGCGCCACTTGTCTGAGGCTCCAGGAGGCTCCATACCATGCTCCAAAGCATGGATCGCCGTGGATGTCCGCTCTTGGAGTGTCGGAGAGAAGTTGCGACCGTCGCGACCTCTGCGATCTGAGGATGGGCTGCGCAGCCGCCTCGAGAAAGTGTAGCTCCTGCTGCTTCCTGCAGGGCATTTCAGGCCGGGGGAAGGGTGTTGTTGCATCTTCTCATGAGGGCAGGGCTAGCCGCTAGCACTCGCTCTCACAATGAATTCCGAAATTGATCCTTCCGGCGAAGATGGCTCTGGATTGGACTCGGAGCTGGCCAGCAAAGATCTCTTCGTTGACGGATGCTTTCGCCCTGCAGAAAAAACACACCGATGCTTCCACTCTTGCGGTCTTTCAGTCAGCTGCGAAAGGACGAAGTCCTGCATCCGAAGTCTCTCCGGGAAGTCGCGAAAAACTTCCGCTCCGCTGTCCTCACAGGAGCCCAGGTTCGGCTTAAGGACTTCATGCAGGTTTCTGTGAAAACGGTCGTGTCATGCCGTGCTATCATGTGCTATCGGTTCTAGATAGCAGTTGACAACGCTGCCCAAAACACACAGCGACTGTAAGTCTGTGCTGCCATACTGCGGTCTAATTATGGCCAGCGCAGACGTGACATGCAAGTGTCAGGGCCCAGAGCTGTTCGGAAAGCGGGGGGGGGGCGCACAAAGCGCACCATCTTTGTCTCGCTGCAGCTCCCTCCATCCCCCCGGAGATCCTCGCATTCCTGATTCCGCTGTTGGTGACTTCGGAATTTGAAGAGACTTTGCTGCGCCCGGCCGCTTGGACGGGCTATGTGGATGACCTCCAGGAGATCCTGAAGAGCTCAGGCCGATCTGAAGCATCCCATTTCTCACATGCGCAGGATCATGCTGGCCTTGGTGGCCTTGAGTTGGGGAGTCTGGCGCGGACTTACGACTCGAACTTGCAAAGCTCACACTCCTCGGCCGGACAGCGTTTCAGTCATCGCGCCGACAAGCTCGCGACACCATTCCCTAATCATGGGAGGCAGGCTTGTGATGCGAGCTGGACGGCGAATCCAAAGCACCTGAGCCAGCGCCATCCGATGAACAGCCGGGTGAGACTCTGCGATGTACTGTCGGGGTCGTGACCCGAAGGAGATCGGACCGAAGTTGTTCTTTGCCTGGCTGCAGGACAGGAGCCTACATGAAAACTCTTGCTGTCTGAGAGGCTTCGTCCAAAATCCATATAGGCCATGCTGAAAAGCTCTGTCAACTAGTCACCAGCAAGAAACTGAGCAAGCGCAGCGCATTTATCGGGTCCCTTGCAACATTGGCAAAGCAGCTGGCCGGGAGCAGCGCTTCGACCGGCGAGTTCTCAAACGATTCATAGTCATGGCTACTCGGCTACTCCGTTCAACCACTCAGACTCACACTGCATCTGCCGTTCAGTCGGCGTTGCAACTAACTTTGCGCCACCTGCTGCCATCGTCCCACTTGATTTCTGGAGGGCCTGTTGCCAAGGGTCCGTCCAACATACCCCCTTGCCATACCCCACGCAGCTCCGTTGGTCCACCAAGTGGCCTCCAGTCCACCCAGAACTGCCGCTGCACGCCGGCAATTCGAAAAACGAGTGGTGCGCCCTGAATATTTGTGGAGCGAAGCTCCCACTTCTGCCCACCCTTGCTTCCCGTGATGACTGCCGTGCCGTCGCTAACCGAGATGCTAGCTTTCCCACCGAGCGACTCAGGAATAGTCCAGGAGCCATTGAAAACCGATCCTTCGCACCACTCGGCTGCCGCTGCCGGTTGCAACGGTTGCGCGGCGATCGAAGTGGAGAGGCATCCGAAGACTGCCCTTCGGCGATTCTGCGCTCCGGCTTTGGCCACTTTGCACCTCAAACAAGTCCATGACATGGTCAAGAGGGACGTCATCCGAAGCACCATTGAAAATGCGCTGGTTGATCCTGGGTTATCTGCCGCATCACTCCTTGGAGTAGCTCTGGGAGCATGAGGTCTCGCGAGGCAGCTCTTTCCCAGAATCCCCTGGTGCACCCCTACAAAGAGGCCACCACTTAGGGCCACAGCCATGGTGATGTCCGGGCTCCGGGATCGATACTTGAGCCCTCTGCCACGGACTTTGGACCGGGCTCCCCTTGCCCTGGGCCTCTCTCCTCTCCACCGCCCCGCTGGTATTGAGAGCGAGGTTCAGCGCTTGGGATTCCAAATGTGCAATTTCACCTTGCAAACTTTCAAGATACCTACCATAAGGTGACTAAGGCTTTGTTTTCTCTCCAAGCCTAGTGTCCTGTCCTCCAGCGCAAACCCCACCCAGCGTTTCGGGTTAAGGAGATGCTACGGCGATGTGAAGTTCATGAAACACAATGCAGAATCGGCAATGTCTTGTGATATGCCGCGAGATGCCAAACACGTGATACATGCCATGACCAACTGCAGGCCTCCCGAGAGACTTGGAACGTGAACTTGGCTTGGGCTCCATCTCCTGGCAGTCTGAAGTTTTACGTTGCATTCGAGCCAAGCCCGGTTTAGAGTTTAGGGCTAAACCCTAAACCCTCACAGGGAAGAGGTAAGAGACCGGCCTCTCCCCGCAGAGCCCTGGAAGGAGAGCGACCTCCACTTCTCCAACAATTGCGGCAGCAGTGGCGCGTCAGCTTCAGAGCATGAGACTAGCATCAGGGCAAAAGATCTCCTCCAACATCAAAACCCGTCTCATGTTTTGTCCATGAAACCAGATTTCGTGGATCCGTCGTCGCGAGACGCAGGATGCCCAAAGTCTGCGGCACAGTGACATCATCTCAGCTCTGTGACCCCCACTGGCACATCGGCCCCAGCGTCGGACAAGCCTCAGCGGGATCACTCGATGCAGAAGCTGAGCCCTGATTGAAACGTGTTATTCATACTGCCACAGGCGTCAACGACCGAGACTGACCCAACAGTGCTCCGAGGTCAGGACTGCTGCTGCTGCTGTTGCTGCTGCTGCTGCGTGGAGTCCTACAGGACAGAATGGAGACCATTCGCAAAATCGCACACGAACATCTGTCACGTTTACCATCATCAGCCAAGTTGTGTGAGCAGCCTCTTCGTGGGGCCTTGCTTTCCGGCCTGGGCCGAGCACGCGCGACTAGCGGAAGTCTTTGCTACATCCCGCGCGTTGTGCCACCTCGAGCGACGTGCACCTGCCGCCGAGCAGGTGAAAGGCCCTGCCACAAAGGAAGGTCCACACGGTTCTCTCGCTTTAAGGCCAGAAACGATTGGGATTTGAGGCTGGACACTGGAGCCTGAGCAGAAGTTGGGCTGTCCACGAAGCCTCTGCTCCGAAGATCCTGAGTCTTCCCAAGCATCTCTACCGCAATTCGAGGCTGGGCCCTGCTGGCTCCTGGCCTGGACCTCCGTTGGAGTACTCGGAAGAGCATCTGAGATGGCGGAGCTTTGCCTGGGCTCCATCGAGGTGGAAGCATTCAGGAAGTGACTTCACCATGTGGTGGTGCGAGGGATATTGGCTTTGCTAGTCCATGTCGCCGTTTTCAAAACCAGAAGCGTGGAAAATTTGGTGGTGTGAATGGAAGACCCGCAAAAGCGGTGCGAGCCATCAACTTTGTACACGTTGTCCCTTCAGGGGAGGGTGCTTGCCCATCCGAAAGCGAGCGCCGTGCGCTACAGCGCTTCAAGCCAGGGCCTATGCGGTGAAACTAGGTGAGCCGCAGACTCCGCCTCACGCACGGAGCGTTTGCAGCCTGGGCATTCGGATCTTCAGCACAGCACAAGCCACAGACCTTCACATCTATCAGACAAGGAGCTGTTTCTGAAACCTGAGACGCTCGCTCCCAGGACTTGTCCCTAGTCTAGCTCGTCTTTCAACCGGAGTTGCCAAGGCTCCGGCTGCGCCTCCGACAACCAAATAGCATGGAAGCCCAATGGCACCCGTCGCGGCACAGAGTATTCAACAACAGGCGTCGACGAGAAGGTCTTGGCCTTGAGACTGTAACCACTACGACCACTAATGCATGCAACGACAGCTGATGATCGAAAGACGCAACTGAGGAACACATATCTCGGTAGACAAGATCTCTTTCGAACCGATAGTTACAAGCACTGAGTACATACGCGACATACATACATACATAAATACATACACGTACATACATGCATGCATGCATGCAGTCGCGAGTTCATACCTACGTACATACATTACATACAAGGGTATACACACATGTAGGCGTGCAACCAGCCAAATGGGCATGAGAGTACATAGCATGACCCTCGTGCCAACGGAAAGACCGGCGCTTTTTCGGAGCTGGGTTGCATCGTAGACCGCGAAGGTTGACTCCTGGGTCTTCTCGTTGAAAAGCAAAGCCACCATGTAGCCATCATCCTGCTCTTGGCTGAAGGCAGAACAAAAGGAAGCAGCACGACGGCAGGAAGAGTAAGAAACTTCGGAACAGCCAGCAGAAAACAAGAATGCAATCGCTCCCCGACTCTGAATAGCCCTCCATGCTTAAATGATTGGCCGGCGCGAATTGTTTTCGGCTCCGTTGCTGCAAAGCGAATTCAAGGAAAGGTGTTAGGGGGCCCGCCGTTGACGAATGCTGCTAATCAACATGGTGCATTCGTGATTGGCGTAGGGTTTCAGTGTTAGTGTACATTACAGAATCAATATGTTAAGGAACCCTAAGGAATGATACGACTAATTGTTCAGGCTCCAATATATAGTACTATCGTTAAGTAGCTCCCTGAGTGTTTATAGACTTTTCCATGGATTGCCGGCCGGAACATCTCTGAACTGGACTGACTGCAAACATTGCTGTGCAACTACCGCTGGAGCTCCTCATACACCCTTTAATATCAAAGGTTGTCGGCCGGGAACGACTTTCATATCAGGGGAGGGTCGATTCAAGACGAGCGGAAACGATGAACCATGATGGTAGGAATAATCCCGGAAAAGTCCCTGTCTTATGGCGAAAACGGAGAGCACAGAGTATACTTGCAAGATGTTTGCGCCTCTTCGCCCGTACCGTTACGAGGGGCGAAAATGGGCTCACCACCGACAACATCTTCAGGATATCGAATCACCTCCGCACGTGAACCATGACGCCAGTTCCGAGGAGTGGCTTCAGACAGGCTCAAGGGCTCCACGCAGAACACTTTACAGTCACAACGCAAAGAGCCTCCCGATGAACGGCTCCAATAAGACAAGATCAAAGTACCCGCAGCAACTGTACCAAGCCACGCCATCCAGCTTGCATGCTTCGAAGTCCCACTTTAGGATTCCTCGGAAGTTGAAGTCGCCTCGGCTCCAAAGAGACTTCTGCGGCAGTGCATGGCCTAGCCCTGAAAACCTGCAAGCCACATGCGAACCCCGCATGCCCTTATAGTCAAGCATCAGCCAGGAATCTGCAGCGCGGAGTAACCATGTCGCACCTATGCCAATCTTGCTGATCTTGGCACACTTGCCGAGGCTTCAATGCATCAAGACTTGCAGCCATGCAGTACATAAGCAGACCATGCAGGGCAGCAGGCCCTCTTGCCAATGCGATCGTCTCTAATGCGGGGGAACTCCGTCATGTGCTCGTCCCCTCCTGTCACCTTCTCTATCTGCACCTTGCGCAGCACAAAGATTTGCATGTCGCTGTGAACATCCAGCAAACAGGTGTCTGTTTTCTGGCACACTCTGACTCTCCGGCAAGTTGCAGATTTGCTTGCAAGGTCGATAACAACTCGATGCATTTTTCCAGGCCCGAGCCCTCCCAAGATTCCATCAACGGCACCTGCCTGTAGCGGGCGACGAGGTCTCTTGCTAAATGTTGAAATTCTGCCTTGACCAACTACTCGGATCCTCGTAGAACTCGACCGGAGACCACAGAATGATTCTGCCGTTCTCATCATAGGCATAGCAGGTATGCACAATCCTAAGGTAGCCGCAAGGGCAGGGATTTTGCCGAGCCTTTAGACTTTAGTCATGGTCAACCAGATGCCAAGCCAGGAATCTCGGCAGACTCTTTCGCCTCAACCCATACGAACTTCTCCTGAGATGCCAGCCCCCGGGAGCTCTTGCAGAACACCCAGTCTGCTTCTTTCCACTTCTGCCAGAACAAGGGAGCCCCCAACAAAATGAAACAACTGCCGTTCTTCTTGGCAGGGCCGGGTCTCTGCTGACAGCTTTTCGTTGCGAGGATGGATGCCAAAGCGTAGGTTCCGGCCCTGGCAGGGAGTTTCAGCTGCCTGAGCCCCCGAAAAAGTTGGCACACTCCTGTGACATCCGGTCTCGGCCGTCGCCGTTTAGGTACCCGAGGTTCTTTGCAGGTACCGGCCCTAATTACAAGTCCGCGTTTCCCCGTTACATTCGACATTCGCTATAGGCTTTGTGCTCAAAAAATGCTAGCCCTTTGTTCTCGCAGTCCACACGCACAAATGATGTTTCACAACAGCGAACAAGCTTTCCCCGGAGCTAGTTGCAGTAGCTGTCAGTAGCCCTTGAACCTGTCCTTGCCTGGTCGAAGTTCCAGAGCGGCTGCCCTTTTACCACTCCCTCTGGCGTGAAGCGGGTGGATCCATCCACAAGAACCATGTAGTTCTCCGTGATGAACATGTCATGGTGGAATCCAGGCACCTTCAACTCCACATCCAGTCGGTCCACCAGCCTACCTTGTGAACTCATAGGCTGGACGGGCTCAAATCGCGCTTAGCGACAAACTTGCATGCACAACCACAGACTGGAACAGCAGCCCTCCAAGCAAACGGCCAGGCGGCCGTTGAACATGCGGCCTGCGTAGAAATGGTTTTCCGCGAGCTTTCGCCCGTGAAAGAAGGTCTCTCCGGTCCGCAGGTCGAATTTAGGGTGGGCCTCGGCAAGGCCGCAAAGCCACAAGATGCAGCCGAAGCAAGAGAGGGCACTTCTCAGTGAAGAACACCTGCCTCAAGCTTAGACTTAGCCCCATACAACAACAGCGAGTCTATGACAGATCCAAGCCACAGAAATGGATTCCTTAAGGGTTCCTCCCAAGGAGTCGAAGCCAAGACTTCTCGGAACACCGGCCTCCAGTCAAAGAGACATGTCTGCAAAGAAAGCTTCCAGATGCTGGCCTCATCCAGTGCGAATTGGAATGGTGCGCCACCCTCGTTCAGTGCCCAAAGCTTTCCTTCCGGAGTGTATCCTGCATCGACTGATGTCCAGCGACTGATGCAGTCATCCGTGTTCGGCAAGTAAGGCCGAAGACAAGACTCGAACGCAAAGACGGTAAAAAAACAGCAACGCCTAGAGTCTAGAGTTCAAGCGAGGGATCCTAACGGGTCGTCAGAGGTCGAAAACTTCGGGCGGCTCCCGCAACACCAGACTGCCCCACTCGATGCTGTAAATCAAATCAGAGTGCAATGTGACATGATGTGACCTACACGCGCGCACACCTATGGCACACAGACGCCAAGTCGCACACTCTCGCACCAACAAAACCCAGGATTCTAACGGATCCCTTTCTTTGCCCCTCCGGTTCTGCATGGTTCCACCCGCATCTAGCAGCACACTACTGACACCAGGATTTCCACTGACTGGGCAAACAAGTAAGCAAGCCATACTGGTGTTTCGATAGGTCGGGTTCTATATGTCGTGGTCACGATCCCGGTCCTATGGCCGTATTGGCCGTCGAGGCGTCGAAATTGGGCTGCAGATTAGTCAGCTTCGTCTTTTTCGGGACCTGGGCAGGTTGTCGAGACTGGCTTGTTGCAAGCAGCTCTCTTTCGCGAGCGAGCCACGGTTGCCAAGATTTTGATGAGGCCGGCAAAGCCATGGAATTCTCCGATCCGGGTAAACCATTCCTTGCCGTATTCCTTCTCGAAGAGGTATCGAGGCGTCTCCATGAATTTGCAGCAGTGGGATGCCTCTGCTTCGCTTCATTTGGGTGCCTACATGGCCCTACTACGAACATCATTTCGAGCCTTGCCCTCGGAGAGGCGAACCTGTGTTCCGGCGCTGGCCACACATTTGCAGCTTAGGAAGCTCAGTACCAAAAGCTAAAAGCTCCTCAAGATCTCTTAGCACCCATTGAGCCAAGCTTCCGCGTGAACCATTCCGTCCTAGGACGTGGGCAAGCGAGCGGAAGCCCTGCACGACGTGACTCTGTCATCCCTACAGTTCGAAGTACGCACGGCTGCGCACGTCGGGAAGCAGAGTCCTTCAATAGCGGCTCATGCACAACAACAAGCAGCAACAGCAGCGTCAACGGCGCAACAGCAACGTCAAAAGCAGAAACGAGGCCAGCCGGAGCAAAAGAAACAGGAGGAGCTTCAATCGTGGCAGCATTACCAGCATCGTCACGATCATGACCACGGGCACTATCATACCGATGATCATCATCATTGTCACCGAAGCTACAACAAAAGCCACGACAACCACAACCCCGACAACAGCAGAGAGGAGCGGAAGTAGCAGCAAGAGCAAGTGCAAGAAAGACTACGGCAACAACGACGACAACGGCGACGACGAAGACAGCGGACTCCGACGTCTGAAAAAATGAGAAGAACGACAAAGGCAACCACAGTGAAACCTGCTACGTTGCGGCTGATCTCCCGGAGGGTGAGGTCACACAGCATGGATCAGAATGACCCGAATGGACAGAAGCATCTGAGAGCTGGGCTCCATCGAAAGCATGGGTGCGCTTCTTCGGCGGCCAGTATTGCGCATTCGGACCAACCCGCAGGTATGCGCCGACCAGATCCTCGCATGGCTTCCGAAAACGGGAGCAGGGGAGGGTTCTGCTGCCATGGCCCTGGCCTGGCCATGGCCTGGCCCCCCGGGCCTCCCCGGGCCCCCCTGGCTTTGCTTCCGAAGTCAGTAAAGTCTTTAGGAGCTTTCAAAGCTTTGGTCGCGCCAATGCAGCAAGGCATCTGGAGGGGGACTTCCTGACTTTACTGTCAATGAAAGGGGCTCTGACTCCCCAACAGGAGTCAGAGCACCTCCAAGCCTTCGATTCCACATGGCAGGCTCACACAGCTGCAGCGTGGCTCTTTAGCAGCATGGTGCTGCATTCGCAAAGGGCATCTGGGGGTGACCTCGCTTCCTTTCTGAACGCTGCAATGCCAAGGTACGAGGTCGCCCAACCCAAAGAGCTTGGCACATCTTGGAAAATGTCCAGCACCCCATCAAAGCAGGAGGTGAGCGCCCCTGACAAGGAAACTGGCCTTTACAAGCACCTTATATGCTGTTCACGGGCTAGACTCTGCATCTCCAAATGGCATCTATATGCGGCCATCGAGCGTCGCGCGGCAAGCATAGCTCGCTTTCCGCTTTCCGTGCTACCTGGCCCTCACAGAAATTTGAGCACTACTCCGCGAGACCACGAGAAGCTTAAGATCACTTGCTGTGCCATGCCCAATGGCAGAACCTCCTGCAACCAGACTCCTCATTTATTCTCTCTTCTTTGACTGCCAGCAAATGCATTCCAAGCATACAACATGCACTTTCTGCGACTGGTTGAGGCTGGCACAGACTGTCTGAAAGCCTGTCGGTGTTTATTGAGCTGGAGATGTCTGGCGCAGCTCTGCCTCCCGGTCTGAGGCTGTTGGTTGCATCTGTTGATATGCCCACGCGCATGTCATGTCACATGTCTACACCAGTCTGCCTTCTTACTTGCCTGTCGCGCTTCATGCTATGCCGACTATGCCGGTGTCACGGGGATCCCGGCCTGGGATGGGCAGCGTTGCCTTCAGGTCACGGCTCGCACGGACTTGCGGAGTTGTGATCCGAATCTCGCGCTTCAAGACTACAATGCTTTGTGAGTGAAGCAATGCACGCACTCACTTTGCCTGGCAAGAAGAGTCACCAAAGCTGGAACCCAAACCTGTCCAGCAGGAAGAGATAGAAGAAGGCGCACCGACTCCCGGAGCTTTTTCGCGGCTTCGAACGACGAGCACATCTCTGCAACGGTTTCGCCAACACTCGCCCCGAGGCGAGGCTATGCTGCTTTCAATGTAACCTATAATACAGGCCAGTGTCAGCAATGCAGAAGCTATCTGATTCTTTCTTCTGCCATGGTATACTTGCAACTCACAGCCAACTGGCTCTCGCCTGACGTCTCGCTGCCAGTCCTCACAGCGACTCGTGTGGACTAACGACATGTACGGTACGCACGGCCTTCCTATGCACTCCTACCGAAGTCAGGCCTGCTACTGCGAGGAACGCCACCCGGCAGCGTGAGAGGGACATCATCCTCGCCACTCGATTCTGCTCTGCAGTCACATCTTGCAGTGGATAGCGGCAGTTGCCGTAAGACAGCCTGAATTATCAAGGACCATCATGAACCAATGCAGAGTTCAAACGACTCTCTGCGGCCTGGGACATATGCCCGACCACGCGCCTCTGCCACTTCTGGGGCCAACAGCTTTTCGGACCGAGAAAAGAACCTTAGAGATCCAATCATGTGTTCGTGTTCCCGGTTCCCCCTTGGTCGTTGGAAGTAGCCTGTTACAGATTATATAAAGAGACTAGGTTTCTGAGTAGCCCCTTTACAAGAAGGGTGCCCTTTTTCCTACTGTTCGGTTTTAATATGGGAGCCCAAGAAGGAAAAGAACAAGAGGGTACTACTCGGGAACCTGGGAGAAAGTGCTCAAGAAAACCTTGCTCCGATGGTTTGGGCCATATGAAACCTTCAGCGCCAGAACCCTCATGGTCTACAGGAGGGTTAGCCGGTTTTTGGAGGGCTTAGGATGAGTCTGCTTCTTGCAAAGATCATACCGGCGCTTTGTCAAGACCCTTGGTAGATGCCCTAGCTTCTTTTCTAGACCTCCTTAGCATCTCCGTTTTTGAATGGGGCACGAAAAAGACGAGATGCAGCGTCTCACGAGAAAAACTCACAGACTCGCCTCGTGGCTAAACCGGTCTGGATATCCTGTGTCAAGCCGTAGAATCCGAAGGTCCTAGATCATTAGCCTGAGGAGCTTTGTGCTTCGGCGTGGAGGCTGCGGGCCTAACTATAGTCTCTATAGACCATATGTAAATGCCGAAACCTGTAGACTGTAGACCTTGATGGTACCAGGACTGTGCTTGATGGTACCAGGACTGTGAAGGATTTGATTGATTTGCTGCAGTCCGCCGCTTTACGTAAAATAGCTGCCATAGTTACAGTTACACCTGAAACCCTCCTTAACATTGCCACCTGCGGCAGACTTGTGCGACTCTTCCGGATATCACCGCGCCAACCCATGTTTTCACATGTTCCGCGTGTGTGATGGGCGGTGCAAGGCACAAAGTGGAGCATCAACGGATGCTGCTCAGGTTTCCTCAAAGATCCTCAAAGAGCTTTCGACGAATGTCAACAACTTCTGTACATTTTGATGCAAGATCCCGCACAATGCCAAGATGTGTTTGTCCCGACTAGTGCAGACATTCGTCCAACTTCGGTTTGCGAAGCTTTGCGGTAGTGAAACTCAAACAAGACGTCCGCTGCAATTCACTCAAAGGCTGGAGCTCGGGGGCAGGCCTTCCGACTGATAACACGCCCGCCAATGCTGAGAACAAGGAAGCTCTTAAATATTCCTCCAGCGAGTTTGCGACATGAACTTGGAGAGGTCTGCAGCGAATTCAAATGCTTATTGGATTAAGATTAAAGCTGCCTGCAAGTTCGGGGTATCTTTGCCCCAGCAGCCGAAGAAAATTCGCAACATCGGCTTTGCAGGCCCTGCGGTGGTGAAACTCCCTCATAAGGGATTCTCTCTGCAGGTCGAGGAACTGCTCCATTTCAACCCTTGCAGCCTTCTCTTGCTGCAACTCCTGCCACAACTCTTGCGCAGCTTCCTGCTCCTCGCAGGCTTTGCGTCGAGCCGCTTCCAGCTCCTCGCGGAGTTGCTGCAGGACCGTCGACTCTTCCGTCACCTTTGCGCCGCAGGCAGTCGCCTGCTTCGTGGCATGCTCCAGCAGAGCTGCCAAGAGCTCCGTCTCGGATGCCCGAGCCTGGGACACATTTCGCATCTCATGCGAATCCTCATCGCCCTTCTGGAACTCGGCCTTGTTCTCGCGCAACGCTGCCTTGGCCGTCTCAAGTTCTGACTGGAGTTTCTTAATCTCGTCATGTTGAAACTCGAGCTGCTCCCGCATGTCGCGCTGCCGCATCTCGCCTCGCCTCTGCTCCTCCTTGATCTGCGCCTTCAATTCTTGATTGACCCGCTCCTCATGATGCAGGCGGAGGCGGGTCTCGTCCAGCACAGCCTGGAGCTGCATGATCTCATCGTTCACGGAGTCGTTGGAACGACTTGGGTCGCACACCCAACTTGCAACGTTGGTGATCTGCGTCCAGAGAGCGGCCATGCCGAATCTACACCGACAGTGCGTTGAAGAATCCTGACGCCTCTGCGCTGGAGCCGAGCGATTCGGAAAGGGCGCTGCGAACTCAGCACTGCTTGGGACCACGTTGCTGCATACTGCTACACGCAACCCGATGGACTGAGACAGATGGCATGTACGGCTGTCAAACGCATGCTAGCTGCTGGCAATCGCTATGGTGGGAGCCCTTCTAGGAGTTCTGACAAGTGCAAGCTGCAAGCTTCTGCCATTGTGACGGTACCGTATCTCTTTGCTTCGGCAAGATCTTAAGCCCACGTCTCAGTCTGAGCAAGGAACCGCCGAGCCACATCTTCCACAGTGTGCTGCAACACCTTCTGCAACGCATCCGCCTGCACAACTTCAGTGCTCTCAGTCTCTGCACTCAGGGGCTCAGCCCTTCGCCTTGTCTTTAGCTCGGCACGAGGTCGGGCTCGACGGACTTGGCGGACTTCCTTGGAAGCAAGCTCCGACCCGAGATGCCTCATCAACCATTCGGTCGTGTGTGTCCGGCCTTCGTGCGGGCTCAGCGTGCCCGTCAGCGGTTTTCGGACATCACCGCGCCTGCAACTCTGCCTACCAACACTCGCTCACACTGTGCTTTCGCCACATTCATCCGGCCTGGAAGAGGTGAGGATCACCGGTGCTGGGTTGGGAATCTGCCGCATCTCCTACCGAGCGGCTATGGCTTAGGGCTAGATGTACAGAGTCTTGTTCGTATCAGAAAGCATGCACCAGCCAAAACGCCGACACGACAGCCTTGGAAGGCTGCTGAACCTCCCGCAGCGATGTCCAGTCTTGGCACGTGCAGGTCTAAGCAAATTAAGGCCTGACTCTACGCTGTCCCTGAAGACGAGGACACTGCCCAAAACCCTTCGCGAACGGTGGGGGGTGCTGCCGTCTGCGTAACCTGGCAGAATTGGGAAGCTCATATCAAGTATACCACAGTATACGTAATGCAAATGCAAACAGCCTTGGTACGCGATGACTTCAATGCGCTCTTTTCGGCCCTTCTCTTCTGGCGTTCAACATCGCTGGCGAGACCCGCCCTGCTACTCACCGGCACCATGGCTACGGACGCCAGACTTTCACCTGGCTCTTCGAGTTCGGGAGCAGAGGCTGTCACAGAGGAGCACAAACCCGAACATGTGCAAAGCCGCTGCCTTCAGGCGACTTGGGGCTGCAAGTGCTCCTGGTGGCTGGCTGAAGGGATGTCAGCACATGCAAATCAACGGTTCGTGCGCGACCTGCTACCCCTCCAAGTTTGTCCGCTGCTATTGAGCATAAGATTCATAGCAACTCCTGTAGCATTTTCTTCCACGCTAGCGCAAGCATACATCGTGACCCTTGGGCACGGGATCCCAAGACAAATGCCAGGCACAACTATAATGTCACCGACCACACTCATGCTCGTCTCACATGTCTTCTGACAGGATGAGCCTACAGTCGACACTGCAATCGGTCTCTTTGGGGTTGGGGGTTTTGAGGGAGCTCTATGGGGGATCCAAGTCTCAAGATCCTGAGCCCGAAAGGCTCCAATCGTCTCCAAGCCAGTGGCAGTGCAACTGCTAAGCTGCTAAGGGCAATAAGCAGGGCTTGAACTGGACAGAACGTGGCTCAAACCGTGAATCTGCAAAAGTTGTCCTGAAAACAACGACTGACTGTGCAATTCCATACCTCCGATGGGCTTTTGGTACGGATCCATCATGTTCCATCTACGCTCGAGCCACGGGCAGTCGAGTAAGTTGCGCTTCTGCAGCCTTCACTCTGCGAAAGCTGTTCCACAAGGGTAACAGCCCAGCCGAATTGACTTAAGAATCATTGATCCGTTGGTGAACCGATTCCACGAAGATGGAACCCAGGCATTGGCACTTTTCTGCTACAATGCGTCGTGGCAGGCAGGCATCCTCAAACGATTCTGCTTGTTGCACACTGATTGAAACCTGCTGAATATGCGCTGCCACAACGCCGGAGCATCTGCTCCTGCCCCGGTTGCGGGGTTACGGAAGGCACTCCTGCAGACATAAGAGAATCGTTAACGTACAGCGCTTCTGAGGCTCGCGAAGTTGTTCGACGGCATCAGAAAATCGATTCAGAGCCACGGAGCAGTGCACGTCAACAAGTGATGAAAAAACGGTGTGCTCAGCACTGCTCTCCAGAACTCAACAGAAGTCTTCTAAGTCCGGCCAGGCCAGGCGGCCAGGCTGTTGCAGATGCCAAGGAAAACGAATCGCCACACTCTACCGGCTTCTTGCTCGGCCGTGGTAGAATGGGCTTTGCGAGAGCAGCAATCCCTTACAACTTTGGAGCATCAGACGTGCTGATTAAGGGCCGCTAGACCCCACGAAAGCTAGAGCCTCGAGAGGGCCGTGATTTGGCGAAGCCCAGTGCCAGCTTCGCCCTATGCCTCTATGCGTCGAAGGTGACTCGACCCGGCCCATCTCGAGACTAAGCGGCTCAGCGTCTTGTCCGAAGCCTCCTGTCCAGCCGTGAACGTCACTCCCTTTGCAAGGTGACCAGCATGTCATGATTTCCCAGGTCTTGTCAGATGCCTTGCCAGACTTGCAAACCCCCATGTTGGCCGGATGGGCCTCATCCTTCCTTGGCGCTTGCCTGGAACCGCTGGAAGTGCTGCGCTGCTTCGGCTGATGGCCAATTCGTCCGAGCCCTTGCGTCTTCAAGGGTTTGTTTATACGACAATGACAACCCTCGCCCGAGATCACCGTAAGCGGCACCAGCCAAGATGCTCGAACTCTTCCAGGGAAATACGCAAAGGTGGTCTCCTGGACAGCGCATGTACAAACTGCATGTTGCAGCAAGTTGCAGCAATCCATGCTGCACAACCTCTGCGACCCACTACCCCAACCATGCTTCACGCAGTAAGACCGGCACGGCGTGTTGTCCAGCAGCACCAAGCTTTTGTAGCGCGGGTTCCCCTGCCTGATCCTTACACGAACTCTAAAGTAAGGTCGCCGGCTTTCAGCGTGTGTTCAGCAAAGGTGGCACGAAAGTCTTGCGTAAAGCTCGGCCCGATGCTGTTCGTCCCAGTGCTTTGCAAAGTCCAATGTCGCGGACGAGCTACTCGCATATAACCTGGCGCAGCAAGCGTACCGAAATCCCCAAAGGCATGCGGTTGTCATAGAGATTGCTCTACTGTCGCATGATGCTCGGTGCACTTAGCGGCAACGGCAAAAAGAAGAACACGTAGTAGTAGTAGTAGTAGTAGTAGTAGTAGTAGTAGTAGTAGTAGTAGTAGTAGTAGTAGTAGTAGTAGTAGTAGTAGTAGTAGTAGTAGTAGTAGTAGTAGTAGTAGTAGTAGTAGTAGTAGTAGTAGTAGTAGTAGTAGTAGTAGTCGTAGTAGTAGTAGTAGTAGTAGTAGTAGTAGAGTGCAGAGGCAAATGCATCCAAGGTGCGAGGTACAAAGAACTCGCTTTGACTCTACTGACCGGTGCTGCCCTCGTGATTGCGTCGCCACTTCTGGCACCCAAAGGCACAGCGCATGCATCTCGAAGTCCGCACCTTCGCAGGCTCGGGCAGATGCAAATTATTTGGGCTGGTTTCGCATAAAAAGCTGCTGCTTCCCAAGGCCTTCCAGCAATGCAAGCATTTTCCGCACCTCGGAACTTCTGCTACATGTTGGACGAGGAAAGACTTTTTGCACCAGGGGCTTGGCCCGATCTGGCTTCTGACAGGCATCGCAGATCTTTACGTTCTGACCTCGGGCTGCAGTACTAGCCAATGAACGCAAAACAGCCCGAGCAGCATGAAAGCCTGGCTGTGAAGCCGAAAGAGAAGAGGTGAATCAACTTTGCTCGACATCGCTCCACGCAGAAGCTGAGCAGGCTGCGATTCCGGACAGCTATTTCGAATATCTCTTCTTTCAGCCTCTCGACGTGCCTCGGAGTTTGAGCTGGTCTTGGAAATCGAGCACCGATTCTACACGCGAATGCTCGGCGTTGCGAGCAGGTTGCTTGGTGGCCTTCAGCTTAGTCCAGGCATCTGCATGGATAACTTCGTTCTCAATGCCGTGCTGTAGCACCTGCTGGAAGCCTGTGTGCGCATCGCGAACGTGGCTTCCATCAATGCAAACCTTGGGTGGCAAGCTTCTGCAGAGCTCCACTTGTGAGAGGCAGGTCGGGACTTGGGGGAGTGTGGTGTATGAATAGTCCAGGACACGGCATTGCCTGATCGTCCGAAGAACTCGACTTCGAAATCGTCACTGATAGATGTCTTGCCCGCGGCTGGAGGTCCAAAGAGCCATAGAGCCTAAGACAATTCACAGCCGCTGCGAGCCCAGAATCCAATTGACTTTATAGGGCCCTCTACTCAGGCCCTGCTAGTGCATGCTGCATCCGCCGGCTTCTCGACGTGCTTATCTCAAAGCAACGTTTTGCCTTTTGTCCCGTGATTTGCAGGGCCAGAACCCTACTTCATAACGAAACCCTAAGCACAAAATACCCTAAACCCTAAATCCGTTTTCTAAGGTGGAAGTTTCCGAAAATAGGGGACCCTAATGTAGGACCCTAAATAGTAGGATCCTTATTACAAGGACCCCAAAAGAAGGTACCCCTAATTTCCAGAAACTCCCAGGCGTGTCGGAGCGCTATAGGAGATCGTCCTTCCGGTAATCGCTCAGCCTGGTTCAGGCCGACCGACTCGAAAATTCGATGCCGCCTCAGCTGCTTCTTAGTGCAACTGCTGCCGATATTACACACACACACATATATATATATATATATACAGATGTAAGTCTGCATAATGTACATGTAATCATATGTAGGTTTACATGCGAAGTCATGTGCATGAATCTTTCGCAGCTCGCAGGAAGAACCCGGATCCATCCTTCCTCACCCTGAAGCTTATCCGGTCTTGCACAGCTGCGGAGGAGAAATCATGATGAACTCTCGGGAGAAGACCGACAATCGAAGAGATCTCGCACGGTGGGGGCGTCGAAGCAATCAGACTGCCCAGAACGAGCGCAGGAAACGCTGAGATAAGCGATGCTGAGGACCACTGCAAGAGAGAAGTGGAGCCGTGTTCAAGGGGTAGGACCAACTCTGAAGACCAGTGAGTAAGTGGGAAAGTCCAAGCAACTGACAGCTAATGCGTCAGGCCACCACAGAAAACCAGGGAAAAGTAGGTATTTACGCAGAAAATAGCAGTGGCAGTTATGACATGAAAAGCAAAAGCAAAAGAAGCAAGCAATCACACATGGAAAGCATGCCTTCGACCTACATGGGATGCATTGAATCTTCCTGGTTCCCAACAACTGCTGCTAGTAGTAGCCGACTAAATACATGCACGAGGCTCAAGCAATCCTAAAACTGAAGTGCAAAACTCGGGTCTTGTGCTTCCTTCGTTCTGTCGGACGGCTGCATCCACTCTCTTTCTGATGCCATGCTGTTCGACGTCATGTATCAGCCGGGATACTCCTCCTCTGTGAATGGCTGTGTAAGCTGCTCTTCCAAGTCCTGTGGTATTTGACCTGTCAGTCAACAGTTGAAGACATGAAAGTGGCACAAATCGAGCCGCACCTCGCACGACGTGGGAGCGCATCCGCTTGGATCCTTGATTCCCACTTGGCGAATCCTCGTCTGCAGGCCGATTTCGGTCTGCACTGCCCGGTGCCATTTGCACGTGCAGGCTTCCCATGCCAGGGTTGGGCTGTCAAGCAGCACGAGTTTAGTGTTGTATGTGTGATGTGCGTGTACATGGACATGAAGAACAACAATAACATCAGCTTCTTCTGTCGTTGGTACACGGCAGCCCAACCCCGGCGAGGTTACGCCAGCGGCTAGCACAACAGAAAGTGATGTCTTGGACTAGCGGTCATTAGTGGTTTAAGAAATAAGGTGTCTGCTGCCTGAATGATAGATGCGAAAACACACAGCATGGCTTATGGCTTTCATCAGATCTCCACAGGAACCCTTCCGAAGAGCTCCTCTCAACAGGTTTGAGCCAAGACGCAGCAGAGGACAAATCTCGTACGAGTACACTCATGAACCGACAGCTTTCTCGACAAGGGCACAAGACATGCAGATGTTCCGAAGCATGCGACCTGCAACTGCAAAGATGCTGATCCGAAATCATATGGGAAATGCATGGAAAAGCCGTCCTGAAATCTAAGCATGGGATCAAATGAGGTCCCCGAGTGAGATTACGAGAAGCATGCAAAACGCCGGGGTTCGCACCAACTTCGATTGCTCTGTGAGCCTGTGAACACTAGATCACGGCTGCTTGTATCTCTAAACTTTGCCACAGAAAGGGCCTACGCAGTCGCATGTCAGAAAGCTAACACATCACGGCAGCAGTTGGTACCTGATTACGAGCGGCGACGTCGCCGGCAAATTAGTCAGCGGATGCACACATGATGATCTACACACTCTTGCATGCGGGGGGTCCTTCAATCTGGACTTACGGACTTCTTTGCACTCCTGACACACCATCTGGGGAAGGTACTACTTGGAATTCCTGGGCGTGGGTCAGATAGAAACACGTCCACCAGCGAATCATACCCAGACAATGTCTGCACATACCAACGAAGTTTTGAGCAAATGGCAATTGGACATGTGAGCACGTTTGGCAAGACGGTCACACTGCTGACTGTTGCATCAAGCAGAGCTCCTCCGAGGCAAACGCAGCTTTCGCCAGCTCTTCCCAGGCATTGAGTGCTGAGGCAGATCTTCTGCCCAACTCTCGGAACAGTCGGCACACCCTGTTTCAGTGGCCCACACAATAACGTAGCCGTCGGCGGCTGCAATCAGATGTGAAAGTGAAGAGTCTCGACTTCCCATCTGAGCTTCTGATCCTCCGGAGCAGCAGCCAGAACAGCCCAGCTGCAGTGCCGAGCATCTTGAACTCTGTGATACTCAATCAACCATTGCACTCACTAGTGCGGGAATGGCCTTGCGCTCTTGCGAATCTGCTGCCCCCCAGGGCATGTGAGCGGCCTTCGATGGGAGAGGCAAGAGACATGAGCTTGGTGTCCCGACACTTGTTGCAATCATTCAAGAGTCAAGTCTAGATGTCTTTTGGGCACGGAACGCGAGGTTTCACTGCAACCCGAGACCGCGGCTTCATCTTCCAGTCGTCGGCTGTAATCGACGTCTGTCCATCATGTGACATGGGTTTAGGGTACAAACTCCTTCATCCCAAGGCGACCCTCTTCACCGAAGTCTGACAAAGCGGTTTTTGCAAAACCTGCATGGGAGCACTTCCGCCCATGATTTCAAGATCTCCTCCTCCGCATTCTTCGACATACCGGACCATAGAGCCCCGATGAAAGACCTAGCCATTGCAAGCTTCCATACCTACAAACAAAGGTCTTCCATGGACCCTCTTCTTCGGTCTGAAGCCCCCAGAGCGAGCTTGCGGTTCAAAAGGACTTTGACCTGAACTGCAAGAGGGGTATGTATATCTAACAATAGCTTTAACCATGAAAGCTGCTATTACTAGTACATTCATGGCAAAACTTTCGCCCTGGCCATCATCGACTGATAGAGATGCTACCCCGCACCTGATAGGGATTTCCTGAAGACGTGCAGATCAGGGACGTCGAAGGCCACCGGACCCCAGCCTCCGGTTCGAAACTCTTAGAAGCTCAAGGCAAAGCAGCGCATTTTTAACATTTCAGCTGCACTGATGCTCGGGACTCGTGCTTCCCGTGTTGTCGGCTTTGTCAGATGCCTGGGCACAAAGCCGAGTTTCAGGGCTCGAAAAGGCCACCATGTCCTGGTGTTGCGAAACCAGATTTAACAGTATGATGACAGGACCTGGTATTCTGATAGCACGGCCACTAAGCCACTAAGCTCTTGCGCCTACTGCTGAGTGGTGCTAGGCTCAGCGCCCAAACACGCAGCTCAAGCCGATCACCCAACAAAGAGTGCCTCGCGACTCAGTCCGCATGGCTCTGCATGAATGACCCCGGCAGCTGCGCATGACAAGTTCATTGCTACTGCTACAAGGCCACAAAAAAATTGCGCAAGACTTTCCCAAGCCCTGCCCATAATTTCACCAATGTCACGACGTTCCGGTGTTAGGGCATCCGGCACGTGCCAAAGACGACATTCGAAGAACAGCACAGGGCTACGCACATGCACTTAGGGCGCAGCTTCATGAGGTCAATCTGGACGGTGTGAGTCTCACCTCCTTCTATTTCTCCAAGATCTCGGTGGAGGAGCGGTAAAGTGGGATAAGCTACACTGATGCACTCGTGGCCCAAAGCTCGCAAAATTGTCTGCAATCCCGTGCCCCAGACCCACCGTGTTGGCCGGCGTGAATTTCTGCAGCCAGGCAAGGTCGCAGGCTTCCATGCAAATCCGAGACTGCCTCTGAAACTTCTGCTGTCATACCGCTTGCCAGTCCGAGCACGCCTCAGCCAAGCGGGAGTTTGCAATTACCACGAGTACATTCAGTGAAGTGAAGTGCGCGGAACGCCGGGCTGTCTGCGGACGAGAGCTTTGGCCCGCTCGTCGGTGGCAAACTCGAGCAGATGTGAGCAGAGCCACAGAGAGAAAGAGCGAGAGTCAGTGGGAACGGGTGGGAGCATGGATTTTCGTGTGATGCAGTGGGCAGGCGAACCACATCTGAGGCCGTGACCGCAACACGCAACCAAACCTCGACATTGCTCTACGCTGCTTAAGATCTATCTGGCATGCTCGGAGCCCTTTTGCATCCCCTTGCACTTGCGCCCGGGCATGCGCAAGCTCCGTCAAAGGCTCGCTGGCGATGCCATGGCGCAGAGGAACGGGTGAAAAGGACACCTATCACAGGAGATCGGCGCAGGCTCAAAGTAAGCTCTGAGAAGTTTCAACAACGCAATTCCGGTAGCAGAAGAGCCACCTCCACTGCGAAGATTGCCGGAGCACGCTTCTCTTCATCTTGGGTAGACTGAAAATCTGCACCTGAACTCGGAGCCCTGTGAGAGCTGTTGCAGCACTGAGGAGCACTCAGCACGTGAACAGATCGCGACAGCTCTGTAGGGGGCTGGCCCCAGGCACCGTAGTGGAGCAACTGTTCGGGTGTGTCTCCACGTAGAATCTGTAGCAAAATGAGAAGTTTGGGTGCATCTGCTAGCGACTAAGCTGGTAAGTTGCAAAGCTTTGTGCTGCGAGGCCAAACGTGAGACCCAGACCTTGAAGTAGCCTCCCTGCCGCCACTGCATTCCAAAAGAATTGAGCAGCAGCCAATAGTCACGGCCTTCGCCATCATAGGCTACTGACGCGACCCGAGACAGTTGTGATGCATTGAGGGGTCCGCTGTCCATGTCCGTGCCCCAGCCGATCAGCGCAGCACCGTGCCTTCAAGACATGTTCATGATGGAATCTGCACCGCAGGCTTCTCCGCATCAACGGCCTTCCGAGAGGATCACCGCGTCTGTGCTCGTAGATCCCACCTAGCACACAGAAGAACACACAGTAGCGTTGCTGTGATGGCTCAGCGCCGCAAATGGTCCAGGATCCAAACTTTCGGACCAAGAGGTCTGATCAAAGAAGTCCTTTCCAGGCGTGCATGGGCTGGGAGGCTAGTAAGCTAGTAATGCACGAGCTTTCCAAGAAAATGGCCGTCGCTCTGTCTCTTCCCTTCTTCCACACACTCAAAGAGTAAGGAACCCCTGCACCCACCGCAAGCAAGCACGCCCTGGTCTCAACAGTCCTTCTAAGACAACGGCTCGAGGTTCGTTCGGGACCGGACTGCAACAAGACAGCTCTACCTCCACAAACCTGCATCCACCCTGTACTGCAAGTAGCCTCCACCAGTCTGCTCCACTCCCCACACTCAAGCAAAGGAGTTCCCGCCGATCCGTCTTGAAAGCACACGAAGAGAGGACCAGCGTATATGACGACAAGACTCTCGCGATTACATCCTCGACAGGCTTCAAACATTTCAACGTCGGCAGCAAAACATGCAGCGTGAAGTGGAACGAGCGGAGCAATCCCAACCACCACGTAACAGAACACAGCACAGGTATGGGCACAACACATTCACAAGTCGGCTCAGCTTGCCCGCTTGCCCTAACATCCCCTAACCTAATTACATCTTTCATGACTCATCGGCGACTCATCGGTGCTATACTGGAGAGGCTTGAAATAGCGGGAAACAAGACGATGCGTCTGACACTGTAGGGAACAATGGCACGGAAACCTGCTGCAACCTAGTTTGCGAAACGCTCATGTGCAGCACTGCTGCCAAGGCCAAGGATACAGAACTTTGAAACAGCAATCGGCACTGGTAGCACTCCAGATGCAGGGTGGTCATGTTTCGCCACCCTTCTCAGCTACCCTGGGTGCCCCACTGCCCTAGGTCCCGCTCCTCGCAACCGAGGTGCGCTTTTTTCAGGAGTACCAGTCACCTTTGCAGCCTCCGATCATCGAAATTTTAGCTCCCTGCAGGACTTACACACGGGAGTTTCCGAAAATACAGGGTACCTCATTTTGGGGGTCCTTGTAATGAGGATCCCATTAATTAGGGTACTACATTAGGGTCCCGTATTTTCGGAAACTCCCATACATGCATGAGGCCACATAAAGACCAATAAGGACAGATAAAGCAATAACAAACAGAGTATGAAGACAAAAAACAAGGAACGAACGACACAAAAATCTAAGATAAAAAATCCAAGTAAAATACCAAGTCAAGGAAGTAAAGACAAGCAAAGATATGCAGAGACAGACATAATGACCATATCAATAAGCATAACACAAACAGAAAAAGTGTCACGCTTAATTGCCATAACAAACAGAGACAAATAAATACCACTGCAAAAACACAAATTAAGATAAGTACAAGACACCACAAGACAAACAAACACAAATATAAAAAAAAACAGGCCAAAAACATCAAGGACACAAATCAACACAAATTACAACCAAACAAGGCAAAACAAATTAATACAATCATTAAACACAAATAAAACCATGCCTGCCAGCGTGAATTACATGCATGCATCGCCTCATGTCGTGGCTCGGTGCGGAGGGCTTTTCACCATCACTATCTGACTATCACTTCCCTTCTCAGCGGAAGCCGCTCATTCTCCCCATCGTCGAAGCCCTAGATGGCGGTGGGATGTCTGATGCATCCGCAGCGCCGGCGAGGCTCAAAGTGGCTGCATCATTGCCATGTGGCCCTGTGCACCCTTTCTTCATGGTTGTGTTCTCCCGTGACTCAGGGGGGTGCATCAAACAAGCCACTGCTCTCGATATCTTTTCGTCTTGGGTAGGGCGCGAGAGGATTTTTCCCTCTCGCAGAGCCCAGCCCTTTGGCAGAGTTTGGGGAAGTTCTTGAAACTCTTGAGTACGTATGCCACATTCCCACGTTCTTGCCATGTCTATTTCCACCTCCCTCAGTGACATCGAGACTGTTCTGCGGGGCGGAAAGGAAACCGCACATGTACTGCTCCCCGACGGTGTGTCAGACTTTGCCGTCACCAAACAGCACAACGCCTAGAAACACGTACCCGGCAAACCCATGACCCGTACTTCCGCCTGTGGCACAGTCACTCTGTAACCCATGAGGGTCGCAGGCACAGAGCTTGGGCAGTACTTTCATGGCACATTTAAGCGAGTCAGGCGGACATACGTTTCTGATGCTAAGAAACTCAGGGATAGTCTGAGTTTTGGGGTGCTTGGCATATTGATATGGCCCTGACGTGGCTATAAAGTGCTTGTGCGTGCACGTCCATCGCACGCCGATAGAGGGAGAGAGTATGCTTTGAACCGGGTGCAACGACTCCTATTGACCTGACCTTTTGCAGAGCTCTCGAACGCGATGCACCCGAGTCCTCATAAAGGAAGAGCGACACGTACAAGGGACCGTCGGTAATCAGCTCCTGCGAACAAGGAGCCCGATCGAGAGTCGCAATAAGCAGTTTGAGTCAGCGGCTCCTGCATCATGTGGCGCTCCAACTCCGGCACGGTATTGCCCTCCATAGTCCCCCGGATCTTGAAGTAGCTGGGTATTCGAGTCTTGGTTCATACACATCCACCACAAGTCTAAACCGCAACTGCCAGACTGGACACTGGTGGCACCTGTGCGGTCAAGAAACCTTTGGGCATGCAGCTGGAAGCAAGTCACAGGCGACCGTTTCCGAAAGGTGGAAGACGTTGGGCAGGCATTTACAGGCAGCTGTCTCCCTTACTGCGGTCAATCTCTCAACTGAAGACAACAATGTTCGCAGAAGCTATGTGACATTGACGCAGCTGGCACCAAAGCGGCCAAAGATCGCATCAGCAGACTCGTGGCACATTGTCGCAGATTCCGAACTCTGTGTATGAGCCACGGCGGTCTTGAAGTCTGCGGCCTGCAAGGCAGTTTAAGCAGCTGGATGAAAGCAGCTCCAGTTCGGTGAAACATCGCAGGCCTGTTGCTGAGGTGCATGCAAGCGTTGATGGAATATCTGTTCTGGTTCTGATGCGTTCTATCAGCATTCAGAAGCGGTTGTTGCGACCAGCCTCCATGGATATAGTGGACTGGTCATGGAAGCATCGCATTCGATATGGTGAACAGGTTTCCCTGGCCGCCCCGTGCTGCTTCATGTAGTAGAAAGCCTGGCCATTTTGATAGTAATAGTAATGGTAATACTCAGTGGAATAGCAATATTGATAATATTCATTTTACTGATAGAATCCTATTATGGTAATATTCATAGTAATAGCCAATTCTAATTGTATGACCAACATAAACAGTGTTGGCGAGCAGAGAATGTGAGAGGCAGGGTGACAAGGACCTTGCCTCGGCTGCACTTCCACCGGAGCAGCCGTGGTGTGCGGAGCACGACACGAGCTCCTGGCAGGACCCTTCATGATGGTAAATTAAATAAGCATCTTTTTCTTTGGGTTTAGGGTTTTTTTTTGGAGTGGGTTAGGGTTTAGGTTTTGGATTTGCGTCCTGGGCTGACAGGAAGCTCAAGGAAGCAGGCACCTCACCTGCCATCATCACAGAAACTGCCAGCATGTTCGGAAAAGATCATCTCAGTCGCACGTGCCTCCGTGCAGTTTGACCAGACATTCACGGAAAGAGGCCACGGCTGTCGCAGCAAAAGCCCAGCTGGAACCGCAGCTGCCTGTCATGCTATCACGACAGATACTGCATGGAGTAAGATAGAACATCGAGATCGCATTATCATAACACAGTATAACAGTGTATGTTATGTAAATATACACACACACATATAAGCCTTGGCAATTTTATACATGCAGAACCTGTTTCTAGTTGGGACTGGAACAGGGGTTGCAAGCCTGCCACGCCACCGGGTGACTGGTACCCGACATTGCGGTTAATGAGATATGGACAGCGTTCTGGGTTGGGGACCGAAAACCGATTTTCTTCAGCTTGCGGCTCAGCGCTATAGACGAGCATTTCCATGAGACTGACCCGCCAGAACCTGGCGGCAGCCTGCAGATTCTTGCGACTATGGAGCTGCATGCCGGCTGAAATGGCCGGAAGATTTGCCTCTTTGAGGTCAAGAATGAGGTCCGCAAAACTGCTGAAGTACTGCACGTGTGGATAGCCTGGGCTGGTCTTTTCGGAGGACATCTCAAGCAACAACTTCAGGCTCAACTACTTACTAGGTCCTAGGTTACTGGGTATAAATCGATTGCAGAAACAGCCAAGCATCTGTACAACTCCAGAGCATGGGCCCAAAAGAACCGAACACGCGCATCGGTTGCGACATGCCGGGGATGCAGGTCGATGCCATGGTCGTCGAAGTCCAAGCCCAGCTCCCGCTTTAAGCCGGCCCAGTCACTTGGCCATCCGGGCCTGATGGTGAGTCGGTCCGGCTGATCGTCGCCGTAGCGTGGCGCATTGATGGAACCCCGCCACACGTAGTGTGCAGACGAATGGATGTCGGGAGCAAAGATAGGCATTGCAGCGTGGTACAGCTCGAAAAAAGACAAAAGGGCCGCATCATATGGGAACATGACAACAGCTTGGTATGTTGCAATGGCATCGTAGCCAGCTGCCCCTTCTGCGCGCAGCAGCTTCAGATGTTGAAAGGCATATTGGAGCTGCATTGACGCAGCTTTTGCCACCACCCTCGACCAAAACCGCTCGACGTTGTCGCAGCATTGGTTGGAGGACTTCCAGACCAACACTTCAGGGAGCTGCGGATTCCAAACCATGTCCGTGCCTAGACCAAACACCGGCAGGTGTTTGGTCACAGCACCGCTCATGGCAAAGATCTTGACCGAGAGAAAGGCTGAGTTTGTGAAGAGTCTGACATTGGGCGCCTGGGCCATGTCATGAAGCTCACGCACCCAGTCGGCAAGCTCGTCTACGTGAACCATTGCCTCGATGTTCCCACCGAAGAAACCAATGACAGCAACTCCCTTCACTTGTGCCAGGGCGTGGAGTATCCGACAAAGGAAGGGGGGATGGGTGCATACGGCAATATCAGGTCTGTAGTCGAGCACTGCTGCGACCAGCTCAGGAAGCAACCGATCCATTTCGAGCATGACTGGCTCTCCTAGCGCACCCAAATGTTTCATGTTCTCCGCCAGTCGTATGAAGCTTGGATGCATCGTTGGGCTAAGCAGGCAGGTTGCATCTTGACACCGTTTCGTGTCAAGACTTACGTCGTTGAAATCAAAGATGAGTGGCCCAGCAACATACTTCTCCCACATTGTTCGGACTTCGAGCACCAGAGAGGCATGTACACCAAGCGTGGTCACTCTTACCACTTCGTGCGGATGCACAGCTCTGCTTCCCGGAGAATGCTGGGTTTGCAAATAGGAAAACAAGTCCAGAAAGTGATGGCTGAAAGCAGGAACATCTTCAGCAAGCAGCACAGTCAGCAAGCGACTGTCCAACAAGGATTCATCTGCATCGTCGAAGCATATGTCGGATGTCAGGAAGAAGGCCGCCTGCCTGTACATCAGCTTACGATGTTTCCCCAAACCGTCCTGCTCAGCGGCATCGCCCAGTTTGTCTGCCAGGTAGCGGACGCCTGGGGCTTGGTCTTGGTTCGGGTTTACCTGCAGCTTAGGGCTTAGGGCCTTGCACCCACGCATTCTAACATGTAACTCCGTTAAAGAGGACCTTGAACGGTGAACCTTCAAACTTCACGAGACCTTGTAGCTACTGTAATCGGGGTCACAGGCACAGCCCGCCGAAAGCGTTTCACAGGTTTGGCCCCACAGCGCGTGTGGCACATTCGGGAGTGGGAAGATCTGCTCCATCACGCCTTGCCCAGTTGCAGATCCCGCAATCAATGAGTTGCGATGAATGTGGGTCATCAGGGTTTAGCATACTACGAAACTGGGTAACCACCCTCTGGTCCTGAACAAGGGCTCACAATACGGATGCCTTTGCAGTCGGACAGTTTGACTCTTAATCTGGCTGAGCAAAACCGGGCCCTGAACACCGATCCCTTCATGTTGCTGATTTTGAGCCCGGGGTTCTGAATTAGGCTCCTGCCTGAAACACTAGCCTTCAACTCGATTCAGACATTTTCCAAACTCTGCCGAGGTGCTGTCCGCATCCAGCTGGTTGACCAAGACATCTTCAATATTCACAAATGCTTCACTCTGGGGGCCAAAGTCAGGCGGTCGGCACACCTGGCTGCCCGCCAAGCGGATACACCACGCCAGCAGCAGCCACATGGCACCAGCTAAAGACCCTCGGGCTACGACATGCTGTCTTCAGCACTTGATGTCGCAAAACAGTATCCCAAGCTTTCAGTTGGGGTCTACCTGCTGGCTATACCGAGCCAAATGCCTCAAGTGCACCCCAGGTAAGGAGGCTGCACATAAATATTCATCACATTTGCAACCAACCAGAGCCTTGATGCCGGGAGATGCCACGAGGAAAGCACAGTGTCTTCTCCACTCGAGGGTCGAAGTTGTCCGGCAGATCCAAACCTTTTCGCGCTCAGAAGGCTGAAGACAAAGAGAGAGAGAGAGAGAGAGGTCGAACACGCAGAAATGCCTTAAACCCATGTGTGAATGTGTAGGCATCAAGCCGGGGCAAGCAGAGGCAGATATACACACAGGCATATAGGAGGGATTTTCTAAACCCTCTAGTTAAGTGGAGCATCCGGAGCTCGCCTTGCTCCTGGAAAGGGCGCTCCAGCTGATGGTCGCGCCCAGCCGCAGCTGCCGCTTCGGACGCAGAGGTTGGATCCCAAGACAGCCTGCCCCGGGGGACACCGGATCTGGAGTCATGAGACCCGAGTGTAGCAGACGGGCAACATTCGATGCTACCACCTCTAGCATACTCGGGTGGTGAATTAGATCGCAGGATTCGTTTGGAGCTTCGACTGCCTGCGCTCGGATGCTTTCCCGGAGCCCAATCGTCGGCTGGACTTGAAGAAGTCCTGACATTCCGCACCGAAAGCATCGCATCTCCCTTTCTGGCACTTGCGCGGCTGTCCAGAGCGGTCTGCTCATCCTCCTGTTGTCCCATCATGCACGGGTACCGACCTCTGCTCTGGCTCCACACACACACACATGCAGCTGAAGAATCGCAGAAAAGAGAGAGAGAGAGAGAGAGACAGCCCACTGCGCCTGCATAGACCTCGGGTACCAGTGACATCTCCTCTGGCACGTGATGGTCCAGGGCATAGGAAACCAGGACCTGCTCTTCGAAAGATCCGCCGAAGTTCTCCTCTTCCTCCAAACAGACACGACCTGTACTACTGAATGTCCGCTGGGGGCACATGCGCGAGCCTGTCGCAGCTCCAACTGCAATCTCAACACCTGTCAGCTGGGGCTCTGCTTCGAACAATCGAACCTATGCATCGACGCTTTTGCGTCGTGAGATCCAAAATGAGAAGATCGGGATCATGGGATCGCCGCCTTGCCCTCCACTGGCTGCCGCGCCGCGGCCAGGATGCGGAGGATCTGCAAAGGCCGCTTCTCGGGGCCTCAGACTCTGGAACCCGGAGCCGCCCTCAGAGGCATTTGATAGAAGCACGTCTGTAACGAACGTGTGAGGCCAGCCGCAGAATGTCTTGATCTGCTCATTGAAGACCTTCCTCGCAGTCTCAGCTGCTTCCTTTCACAAGTGCTTGTTGATCGTGAAGGTGCGAAGGTTCATGTTTTGCGCTTGCAGGGTGCTTGCAACAAGATGCCTGCAGACACCGGTCCGGTCCTTGGCTTCTTGCCAACTTGTCGGAATGAGGAGTTCAGCATCGTCGGCAGCACCTTACACAGCAGCATACGATGGCATTCGTCACTCAGTCGCAAGTTATGTTGTCCGTTTGTGTAAAGTATATGAGTTCTGCAGTTCTGCTTCTAGAGCTGATCCCGCTGGTCTGTGATCCGGTTTCTGGGCCTTCCGCTGAAAAGGTTGCAAGCTTGTGGCTCGACTTTCGTGACCTGTGGGAGCAGACTCAACTTAAAGTCCTGGTCAAGAGCGGAAAAAGGAAGCTGCTCTCGTGCCTGGAAGATGGACAGATCGGTGATGCGATGCAAGTGAGCCACTTCCACATCTACTTTGGTCCTGGGCTCCGCACATGTCCGCTCCATTCTTCGCAAGACAAGCTGCAGCACTCGCAAGTAATATTCATATCTGGACCAGGCACGGAACGAATTGATTCGTTGAATTCAGACGCAGATGGTAGAGGGAGTAGCCATCCATATCTTTCCGCAGGGTTCCAGCCACCATGTAATCTTGTCGTCTTACAGGTGCAAGCGTGAAGCCATAGCACTTTTGCCGCATTTCGTTGATGCGAAGAAGTGCGAACTCGAAGGCTTCGTGAGCAGACAAAAAGTTATCAGGAAGGGCACACCACTCGCCCTTCTCGCAATGCTCCGTGACAGCGACCTCAGCGAAATCGAACCACACCGGCACCGATATCCCCCGTACCGCGTCTAGCCGTCCAGCGTGCCGCCAAGCAGCCGGGACGAAGCTCAAGGCTCCCACACCCGAGGTCTCTCTGGGCAGAGTTAGCAGCAGACACACGCCAATCACGCCAAGACTTTGGGCATGCCATTGGCTCGCGGGCAAAATTGATCCACGCCGAGTCCGGCGAACCGCACTCGCAGCGCACATTGGCGCCTCTGAGGGGCACTGGGCGGAGGTTTGCTTTGAAACCTCTCACAAGATGATGTGTTTCAAAATGACTGGGTGGGAGGGTGAGAGGAGCCTTCATGGCAGTGTGTTGCTGGCTCGGTTCGCTTTCTAGACTTGTGTCTGCCAGCAGCAGCTGGAGAACAAACTCTGACTCTTTGCATCTGTATGTCACTCTGCTCCGAGCCAGAGATGAGTCATTTGGCGAGCATGTGAGCATCTGCATCATAGATCCCGTGAGAGTGTCGCGTCCTCTTCGACACTCAGAATCAAACAAGCCTTCCACTCGTGAACTTCTCTGCTTCTTGCAGCTCGACGTCTCGGAGCGGCAAGGAACTTACGCGAAACCCCGGCGACAAGTTCGGCGTTGTCCTTCATCGGATCAGTTGTCATTGGTCATCTTTCAGGATTTCGAGAGCGTGCAGTTTGGTTGCGAACCTGTTCTGTCCGTGGTCTGTGGGCTAAGAAGCCAGGCTGGCGAGAGTCTGGTTCCACATGCTCGCGAGAAGGTCCTGAAGCAAAAGGACCCGGACTTCCAAAACTTTCAAGAAGCCTCGAATCTTGGCCCAGCATTGGCCGCGCAAGCTCGGTGTAACGTCTCCCTTTGCGACAAGCCATCAATAATCCTAAGGACCGTAGGTAAGGGGGGGGGGGGGGGCACAACGGCAAGCCCGTGCAGCCGAAGAATACAGC